CTCACTCACTCACTCACTCACTGAATATTAGGAAACTTCTTATACGCCCCTGAAAGGAAAGGTACCCCTTCGTTCAAGAAACAACCCATATACTGCTTAAGATTGCTGCAGGCACTGCCTTTTACAACGTTGTTGTCTTTCCCAGAGGCCGGGTTTAGGGTTTAGGAGGAGCTTGGGGATTTAGGGCTTTGGGATTGAGATGGGTTGAGGTTCTAGAGTTTAAGGACAGTTGTATGGTTCCCCGTAGCATGCAGGTTGGTCTTGCAACACTTTGCTTTAGGGCCAGGGTGCGGGGGTGTAGCTTTGGAGCTGGAGTGTGTGTCGAGTAGCTATGCGCTTGAAATGAGATGAGTGACTGAGCGAGTTCACTCGAGTTGGAAGCGCCATCTTGGGCTCGTGCGGCTGTCCATGCCAGAAACCCTGAATCACTTATATATTTGTAAAGCAACACAAGCCGGTTTGACGGAGAAGCCATGCACTTGATGACAAAGATCCCAATCCGGGCTGGCTGGAGGGCTCCAATGCGGGATGAAGGTATTTCAGGGCCGGAACAATTACTTAGTATTCCCTTATAGCCCCAGCAATAACTGTATTACATATAGTGCAAGTTTAAAGCCCTCATAATAGCTGGGCAATCCTAGATAAAGATCCCTATTTTGAGGGATCCTGAATCCTTTATCCCATGTGTTGGATCCTTCGAACCACCCGATCCAAGCAGCCAGCAGTTTCGCGACTTGTTTTCATGTTCCGCGAGACTTTGCTTCCACACTGTATCGATATTAACCCTAAAGCCTGAACCCTAAACCTAGCCTCTGTAACCCTAAAGCCTAAACCCTTAAACTCTAAATCCGTTATTCACCCTAAAACCTAAAACCCTCACTCTCTAATCACGAAGACCCCAAAGAAAGCCGTGCCCTGCGAACCGAAATCAATCCTTGACGCCCGCGTGGCTCAACACCGAACCGAGTGGGGCACCCCTGTAGAACCCGTAAAGGAACCTTTAAAGATCCCTTTAAGGAACCCCTATCAAACCCTTGTGGGGAATTTTCTGACCCGGAATCCCAAAATCTTGAGAAGGTTTAGGAGGTTTAGGGCTTATAGGGTCTGGAAACTTGAAAGTATCTACAATGCCTAGAGGGGTTTGGAGTTAGGGGTTTTAGGTTTGTGTTTTTTCAGCTTCGGGGATAGTCCAGGACGCCGGCATTTCGGACACCGTGCTTTGTGTTTGCCACGACCTCTTTGGTGTGCCTGAGGAGGATACCAGTCCTTTCGTTCAAGGGTGCATTGGGGGAAGCTTGTGCTACATAGTTGGACTAGGGTTCCGGGGTGGAATGCAGGAATGCCTCTACAACCCTAAACCCTAAAATTCTAAAACCTGAAACCCTAAAACCCTAAACCCCAAAACCCTAAGCCCTAAATCCCTAAACCCTAAACCCTAAACCCTAAACCCTAAACCCTAAACCCTAGCTTAAGAGGTTCCGGAGTGAGGTTCAGGGTCTTGAGATTTCTCGGAGAGAGGTAGGACCTCGGGCTGAGTGTTCAAGGTTGGGATGTAGGGTTTTAGGGTTTAGGGTTTAGGGTTTAGGGTTTAGGGTTTAGGGTTTAAGGCATGGGGTTGAGGAGGGTTTCGGGTTTCAGGCATCGGGTTTTAGGGTTTAAGCCATAGGGTTGAGGAGGGTTTAGGGTTTCAGGCATCGGTTTGAGGATGGTTTAGGTTTTTGGGCTTTAGGGTTGGCAGATGTTTTACGGTTTAGGGCAGAGAGGAAACTCATCGTTCGCAGCAGTGGGCTGCGGGGTTTGACGGAGGCTGTGGTTTCAGGGCTTGGATTACCGGTTTAGGGTTCAGGGTTTAGGGGTTTAGGGTTTCAGGGCTTAGAGTTTTAGGGTTTAGGGTTTTAGGGCTTAGGGTGTAGGGTTTGAGGGTTTAGGGTTTAGGGTAGGGTTTTAGGGAGATTTCAGGACTTCGGGTTTAGATAGAACGCGCCCCAAGTAGACTTAGATTGTTGTATAGAGGAACCCAAAGGAAAGAGTACTCAGAGCCCTTATCATAAGGCCCTTGGTTTATGGGTGACCTTGAATGTGGTACGGTTGATGATATGAATCCTGCTTTACCCATAATCAGGAACATACTGTAATTCTCCAAAGTTTAGTGTCCTTAAGGTAATGCAGGTTTTATATCATCAACAGTATGATTAACTTATACAAACGTTCAGCCCAAGCTGTCTGGCTTGCTGGGGCCGCTGGGACTTCAGTACGGTAGGGGCTAAAGTCATGACCCGTGGCTGCAACCCCCGGTACCATGCCAGAAACACTGTTCAATCCTAATGATTAATGTAGAAGCCTTAAAGCCTTAAAAATTAGAATAGGGTTTCGGGGGTATAGTATACTGTAAGTTTCATAAGGATCCGCCCCCCAAAAAATAGGATAGGTAATCACCAAGGCCCCTGTATTAACCCTGAAATCCCAGAACCTTTAACCGGCACCCGAACGCAACAAGCCCCAGACCAGGGTTTAGGGTGTAGGGGACCTTGATGATTGAAGATCTCGTGATACCAGTACAAAAATGCACCAAACACCTACCAAAAAAAGCGCTGCACAAATCCTTATACACACCACTACCACTTATCAAGCCATACAGCAGAAGAGGCCCTCATCCCACATACTCCCGCAAGTCGGTTTCGCGCAGGATGCCCGAGGCGGCTATCCCGAGGGGGCGTTGCAGCCGCCAGGAACCCTCACATTCAGGGTTTGGGGTCTTGGGACAGTCTAGGGTTCACGGTTTCGGGTCTATGGGGTGGTACATGATTCAAGGAATGAAAAGGTTGCATGCAGAAGGGAGCTTCCTAAAACATTGATCATCGTCGGCCGAACCCTAAAGACTCAATCACTAAACACTTCTAGTGTTCCACGCTGGCATTGCGGTTAAGGTGCCTCCGACAAACCCAAGAGGCCTTAAAATGAAACACCGTGCAGTTCTCTCGATCCAAGACACGCCGCGGAAGTGTTCAATGTAAGTCAGGACGATCACAACACGCCCGTACCCCTGACCCCACAAAGTTGAAGCCCAAACCCAAAACCCTCAACTATCCCGACCCATGCAGAGACATCAAGATATCCGGGTGAGATCTCTGGGAGCTTCAGAAATGCAACAGCCTCTTAGACCTTAGAAAACCCAAAACTGTCCCTAGCAGCCCAGTTACCCGTACTGCGGGCCTTACAGTACCCCTGACCCAGTAGCCTCCTAATTATGTAGGCAACTGTGCTCCTCGGATAGACACTCTGCCTGGCATTCACGGTGCGTGGGTTTGGGGTTTAAGGGTTTTTCATAGATGTTGATGATATAAATCCCGCTTTAAGGACCCTAAACTATTACGGGAATTATGGTATTTTCCTGTTACGGGTAATGCAGGATTTATATCATCAACCGTATCCCAAGGGTCCATGTACCAGTGATGCAAAAAGCTTGTCCTTACAGTGACTATACCGGAACCCCTTCACACCCAAGTCTGTACTTTGCATGAGTCATGAATTTAGGTTAAGGGGTTTAGGGCCTGGGGTTTAGGGTTTAGGGGTTAAGGTTTAGGGTTCAGGAAAGTGTAGGTAGGTTGGTTGGTTCAAAGACACAAGTGTAGGGTTTAGGATTCAGGTTAAGAGGGTTTAGGGTTTAGGGCCCTAAACCCGTTTAGGGTGTAGGGCTTAGTGTTGAGGGTTTAGGGTTAGGTTTAGGTTTAGGAAGAGAGCCAGAAGGAGGGTGAAGAAAGGTCCACCTGAAGGGGTCTCCCTTATGCTAAGCCTAAACCCTAAACCCTAAACCCTAAACCCTAAACCCTAATAGACCCCAAGATCCTAGACCCGAAATCCTGGAAGACCGCAACACCCCGGCCCCAGACGACACTTGTCGAAACCCACCCCCGACAGTGTTGGGCAACATCTACCGGAATAGACCGAGCATAGACATGAGAGTGAGAAAGCAAACGCACTGAACATGAATTAAGTAACTTCAAATTTTGAGCTTACTTCTAGTCAGGTGATAGGCGTAACCGAGAGAGACATGCAAAGAAATGACACCTCGCAGGCTCCATTGGATCCGCCCCTCAGGTGGCTGTGTGGGATGCAGACAAAAGTTTAAGTTGGGTTTAGGTGTAGGCCCTCCCTGGACCCCAAAGGTATGTGGAATAATGGCCTTTCATGGGTGTTGGTCCAGTTTTTTGACCACCTTCGGCGGTTCGGGTGCACAGCAGCTTTACTAATACTTCATCCTGCCCTTGTGTTTACTGTTGGTGGATGTGGCTTACGGCAGGCCCGCCCTTCACATAAAGCCTTCGATTCGAGTGCTACTTGAGAGTCTTGGGCTGTTCGTAGTTCGTGGTTACAGCTTTGGGGTTTTTTTGCTCACAAAGAACATAATCTATTACATCAACACCCTATCCTTGATCTTATGTCCCCAACAGTATATAACGTCATAAAATGTCGAAAACCGTTTGAGCACAAGCCCAGTCCATGGCAACACCCTCAGCCCGAGAGCATCTAGTCCATGGACTCTCCCCTTTTCGGTGATGCCCTAAACCCTAAACCCTAAACCCTAAACCCTAAACCGCCGACGCCGTGGACTTCAGGGCCTCTGGCATGCGCTTGAGCCGAAATCCTTCATACGGCGCCCTTAATCAAGGGGGTCCTCCTTGTCCGGTATGGCTCTACAGTGTCGTAGGATTCAGTCTTTTTCAATATCCTGAAATACCCTTAGCCATAAACCTTTGTAATTCATGCTTGCCGGATATTGGAGTTCCTTGGAAACCTGTGTGGTCAGACTTCGCTCCCCCAGCGACTGCAGGTCCTCTGCCTTCGCCCACTGCTGCGGTTTTCGCACTGCTGCCCCTCGCCAGGCTTAAGAAGTTTACAGGTTCAACCCTAACCCTAGTGTAGATTTTCAAAGTACGCTTAGTGAAGATCAACGTAGGGATCCCAATACCAACACGAAGGCCCCGCAAGCAAAACACAATAACAACAAGCATCGATCAAGGTTCTAAACTGTGAGCGCGTCGTCGAGCATGTGGTTTTAGGAGCTGGAATGCGAGTCAAGCCCTATCCCAAGATCCCAGATTCGTCCTAGACCGGAAAACTTCAAACCCACGGCACAGCCGGAAACCCACAAATGTGGAGCTTAACACCCTCAGGACCCTGAAAGGTTGGGGTATGCATGGGAACTGTAGCTTCACTCGGAAGATCGGAAGGTCTGTTGACATGATAACTCTTCATACTCTCCCACCATCAGAAACATGTTCGCATCCATCTCACTGACCTAGGTATGTACCCCTATAACCCCCCAGGTACCTACTATATAGGGTACTAGAGCCCCTAGGTGGCAAACCCTTGAAGGCCATGGAAAGCCGCCAAGAAACTCTAAAGGATCCTCGGAAATCCTTCTAGGACGCCCATGTGGGAGTTTCCGACAATTAGGGTACCTTATTTGGGGGTCCTTATAATAAGGATCCTACTATGAAGGGTACTATATTAGGGTCCCCTATTTTCGGAAACCCCCATGTAGAGACTACACCAACAACCGCAAACCTGAAATCCCTTCAGCCCTTGTACGATCTTACATGTCAATCCTGCTTACGTTTGCCACGGGGCCCTCGGAAAACCGTAAGCCCATAGAAAGCCCTTGTAGAAGCCCTATGAACCTGAAAACACCACAGCAAAGCCGGTACTGCAGCCCGAAGCATCTAATGGCACACAGAAAGAGTACCAGCCCTCACCCATATACCAAAGCTGAAAACCTTCTCAAAACCAACTGCAAGACTTAAAATACCATTTCTCAGAAACCCCACAACACTAGATAGAAGAAAACACCCTTTTTTGACACACAGAAAAAGATAACACCCTAAACGCCCTCAACCCCTAAGCCCCAAACATGTAATCCCTGAGAACTCACTTTTACTGTGCTAAAGCCTCTTTGACTGAGGCCCTGGTCGAATGAAGTTGACGGCGCTGCCCCTGGGCACGGCCCTTGCAGGCAAGATATTTTCGAGGCGTCTGAAACAAAGAGGTCGGGACAACTAGTACTCGCATCCGCAATGGAATAGAGTGATACTGCAATACACGCCCAAAGCCCTAGGCAGGGTTTTAGGAAGGGTTGAAATTAGATTCCAGTGGAAGCGGGGAAAGGCTAGTTCAGGGGTTACTGCCAAGGATCTCACTTTAGATTTGGGGCTTGAGGGTTTACGGGTTTAGGGGTTCAGGGTTTAAGGTTTAGGGGTTCAGGGTTTAAGGTTTAGGGGTTCAGGGTTTAAGGTTTAGGGGTTCAGGATTTCAGGTTCGGGGTCGTTTGGGTTCAACAGTTCGCAAGAGCTTCTGTAAAGGCATTGCAGGATGTTGTAGTATAGTACAGGGGTGTCAATGGGTTTTACAAAGGATTGAACTGAGAGGGTTTGAGTGAGAGAGCTTGTAACCGAAACCCTAAACCCTAAACCCTATGCCGTAGTGTATGTTGTTTCACACATGCTACGTGGCATAGCCACGATTAGCATCAGCATCTGACCCGGCCCTTCAAAATCGAACCCCACTTGATCTCCTGCGTTCTTCTCGCATGGGACGNNAACCCCTAAACCCTAAAGTCCTAAACGCCCAAACCCGAAACCCGTAAACCCCCAAAGCCCTTAACGCTATAAAGCCCCAAACCCTAAACCCCTAAACCCTAGACCCCCAAACCGTAAACCCTAAACCCCCCAAGCCGTAGACCCCAAACCCCAAACCCCAAACCCCCAAACCGCAAACCTGCAACCCCTGAGTCCCCTGAACATCCCCAGATGGGGGTTTCCGAAACTAGGGGACCCTCGGTTTAGGGTTTAGGGTTTAGGGTTTAGGGTTTAGGGATGACAGTACCCTTAATAGTAGGATCCTTACTATACGGACCCCAAAATAAGATACCCCTCGTCTCCGGACAGCCCCAGATAGCGGCGAGCGGCAAGCGGTTCAGAGCAAAGGCGGAGATCCGCGGCCACGCGGACGCAGTCAGCAAGCAGTTCAGGAGTTCAGGGAGGGTTTGGGGTTTAGGGGTTTAGGGGTTTATAGGGTTTAGGGGTTCAGGGATTTAGGGTTCAAGGGGTTTTAGGGTTTGGGGATTTAGGGTTTTAGAGGTTTAGGGGTTTTAGGGTCTAGGGTATAGGTGTTCAGGGCCCATCAACGATGCCTCCAGCCTGCCCGTGCGAAGAAGACGATGATGCCCTAAAGGCAAAAACCAAGCGCAAGCGATCTGTCGCCGAGGAAGGCAGCGAGGAAGAAGAAGCCGAACACCACCCAATCATAAAGTTCCTCTCGCCAGCAGATGGAAGTTCAGAGAGTGATGTCGTTGTCTGGAATCAAAAGCAGCGCTGACTGGAGGAAGGCTCTACCACGCGCTACTGTGAATTGATTTCATCTGTGGCCATTTTCAACCCTGGACCTGTGTAAAAAGCGGGCCTTAAAAATCAGAAGAAAGTTTTGGGCTCTTTTATACTATAATTAGACTATAATTCTAATATGGAGCCCCACAAAATAGTATAGGTAATTATTCAGGCCCCGAATTGCTAATCCCCTACACCCTATACCCCAAACCCTACAGCCTAAACCCTGTAGAAAACCCTACTCTAATTCTTTAGGCACCTACAGAAGGGTCGCTCCTAAACCGGCTGCCAAGGCAGCTGCGCTACTTGGAGCTCCAGGCCGGGTATTGGGCACAACTTGGTTTGGGCTCTTAGGATTTAGGGTTCGTAGCCCTTAGGGCTCTTGGGGTTTAGGGTTCTTAGGGCTCTCAGGGCTCTTAGGTTTCTTAGGGTTCTTGAGGTTCTTAGGTTTAGGGTTTAGGGTTCTTAGGGCTCTTAGGGCTCTTAGGGTTTGTGGTTTAGTGGTTTTGTTTTCATGTGTATGCCTCTGACAAAACTCCAAGGGGTTACCATAAACCCAAATCCTAAACCTTCGGCAACCTTATAAATATGACCCCCAAAGGGAGCCTAATGTAGAGAACTACCCTCCCTAACCCTAGACCCTAAACCCTGAGATTCAGAGCTTGGCTTCAGATGTTTTATGTTGCAGTCCCCCGAATCCTGAAGGCATTGGTGGCCTCTTTGTGTTGCGGTTCTGTCCAGCATAGGGCTTTAGGGCCGTAGGGTTTTAGGGCTTTTAGGGTTTAGGGTTTAAGGGTTCTGGGTTGAGGGTTTTGCGGTTTTAGGGTTTCGGTCCATCTGGTGGACATTGCACATGTCTTGCGGTCTGCATTCATTCTATTCTAATTCTAAGGGTTCCTTATCATGGTATCCTCGAGCAAGTCCATGAAAACGGTAGGCTGGCTGGGGTTAAGGTACCCTAAACCCGAAACCCTAAACCCTAAACCGTGTTTCATAACCTCAGGAGTGCCAAGCAGTTGTTTCAGTCGCACGCGCTGAGGTCTTCCCTGACGGCGACGAGTCCAAGGAAGCAGGCCTCCCACAGATTCATATGTGAGTTTCCGAAAATTTGGGTACCTTATTTTGGGGTCCTTATAATAAGGATCCTATTATATAGGGTACTATATTAGGGTCCCCTATTATCGGAAACCCCCATGTATGCATACCATGAACCCAACCTGAAACTACCATAGCTACTTCAGTAAGTCAAAGTCTTGATTGATACATCCTATATCAGCGCAACCTGTGACCCGCCCCTATCAACCGTATACATCCCTTCAGCCAAGAACGCAGAGTCCCAGGGCTTTAGGGTTTGGGACGTCGGGTCTTTGGTTACGAAATCCTGGGTATCGAGTTTCGGCGCGGACGATGGCGATCGTGCGTTGTGATGATCTCGAGTCAGCGGCCTAGGGGCCGAGCTGCAAACCTGAAGCCCTAACTATAGTCTTTATGGGGAATTCTGAAGCCCTAAACCCTAAACCCCTAAACCCCTAGCTGTAGTCTCTATGGTAGTTCGGGTTTGAGGGGATAGCAGGAGCGCCAGGACAAGGAGCTCCGAGCATCGGAGGCCATCGCTTCCATTCAGGAAGGAGCCGCTGTTAAAGCCGCAAATGTCTACTTAAAGGATCATGGGACTTAGTAAGTAGGGTTATAACTAAGGTAACTATACTTATAACCCCAATTAGGGGACTTATAACCATACTTACTAAGTCCCATGATCCTCCAAGTAGAGTCTTGACGGGATGTCAGGGCGAGCCATCCCTTGCAAAGAACATTCGCTCCGGCACGCCACGTGTTGAGGGAGCACAAGCGACGTGTTGAAGAGTTGATCCAGTCTTCTGCATCCTGTGGCGGTGGATCTGTGTGTCTCCGGCGCAAGTCCATGTTTCCGGCTGCAGCCACCAGATGGGAGCTTCACAATTAAAAGAGTCTAGGGCTTTCGGTATGAAGGCGGGTAGTTCGGGTTTCAAGCTGTCTTCCGAGCTTTCAAGATGCGAAGGTGTCCGGCCTCAGGGTTTGGGGGCTTTGGAGTAGAGGATTTTAGTATTTCCGAGGACCAGGTCTCAGAATCGAGGAGCGGTCGAGGGTTTTGCGGAAGATTTTGGACTGGAGCGGGAAGGCTGACCCTAAGCCCTAGACCCTAAGCCCTAAACCCTAAACCCTAAACCTGAGAACCTAACCTAACCTTAAAAAACAAGACCCTAAGCCCTAGACGCTAACCCAGCATCCTGCAACTGCAATTCCTATCTGCCAAACATCTTGGAACCCTCAACCCTGAAGCTCTAAACGTCACAACCCGGATACGTTAAAGCGCCCAAAAAAACCTTGAGATCCGCATCCTGCAGTTCGGTTGCAAAGCCCTAAACCCTAAACTCATAAATTTCTAACACCCCAATCCCCACCCAAACCCTAATAAACCCTTACAACGCCCAAATCGTAGGTAGTGTTGGGGAGACCCCTTAATGGGGACCTCTTCACCCTACTTATGGCCCTCTTAGCAGGGATCTGTTGAAAGGGTCTATGTCCCCCAAGGCTCCCCCTAATCCTAACTCCCACATCCCTAAACCCTAAATCCCTAAATCCTTAAACCCTAAACCCTAAACCCTAAACCCTAAACCCTAACCCCTAAACCCTAAACCCCTAAATCCTTAAACCCTATCAAACAGGTGCATTCAGCTCGGGGCCGCTGCTTTTGGGCGGTCTCGTGCAGTTTCCTTTCAATGAGGCCCCGACGGCACCTTTTGGAGTTTCATATAATATAGGGGCCTTAATAATTCGAATAGGATTTTTTGGGGTATATTCTACTATAACTGTTACAAGGAACCCCCCAAAAATAGTATGGGTAAGTATTTAGACCCTTAGGGCTTACGGGGTTTGAGAACGTTACTTTAGGCTTGGAGAAGGTGGTTACCAAGCTGTTTTGATGAACCGAAGGATTAGCAAAGTTCGGTCGGTGTTTTGGTATGACTTTGCAGGATGTCGCCGGGCCTGCGCAGACCTTTTATGAGTTGGACCGGGGCGCCTTGGGCAGGGTTCGCGTTTGGGGCTTCGGGGTTGCGGGTCTTGGATGCTAGGTAGGACGTGCATGGCTGGATCCTAGAAGGCTGCACCCAAAGTCGGTTCAGAAGGTTCTGAGTAATTACTGTAGTTGCTTTCAGACTGCTTGTTACTTCCATGTTGTCAACATGCTTGCGAAGCCCCTGAGCTGCTAATGTAGGGGCCTGAATAACTACCTATACTATTTTGAGGGTTCCTTATTATAGTTATAGTAGAATATGCCCCAAAACCCCACTCTAATAATTAAGGCCCCTACATGAAGTAGGTAGTTCCTGCGAGCTTCCTGCAGTCACAGACTCCTTCCTACAGCCTTCATCTTTCCTGGTTCGAGTGATTTCTGTTCAGGGTTGGATGGTATGGTTGACTATTGTATAGGGTTGGATAGTAGAGTAAACTATAGTTCAGGGTTGAGTAGTTACTATAGTTCAGGGTTGGATAGTATAGTAAACTATAGTATAGTCTAGGTATAATCTAGTGTAACACGCAGTTTTGGCTTGGTTAGGCTCTGTGGGCATAATTAGCTTGTTTCGCGGTCTAACTTGTATCGTATACAACCCTGGTCTTCGTCGCACACTCTTCCAAAAACACCTTATTCTACAGAACCCTAAACCGTAAGATAACTTCTGGGGACAGACGCCGTTTAGCGAGACCCTGAAGACACTTTAAAACCCTGTCAACTACAGCAACAGAAATCCTAAACCCCTAAACCCTAAAGCTTAAACCCCTAAACCCTAAAGCTTAAACCCTTAAACCCCTAAACCGTAA